AACATGCTCAACTCCAAAAAAAGTTATAATAAGTAGGGCACCCATAATAGCTACACCAGCAAGGTGTCACCTGCAGTCCTGTGCGAATAAGGACCTGTTAACATTCTCCTTACAGGCCCAAGAAATACATTGACAACCAGCAACACACCGCCAGTTAACTGGTTACTTTATACATGATGTGGGCAGGCATAACGGTTAATGGGCTTCCTTACTGGAACCATAGCGATTGCCACATTTGGATCTTCCGGAAAAAAAGGTCACTTCCGCACTCTGAAATGAGGACCCTTCTCCTAACATTAAACTTCAATTAAACCGTGTTAACTCGAGTTCAGTCTATTCCTCAATTTCATTCTATTCAGTGCAATCCTTTCGATATCATGGATTGAATCTAGTCCAGCAAATTTGGTCTCTCTTATCAACGTTCGATTTAGGGTTTCTTTTTGTACATCCTGCCTTCCTCGGTCCCTTTATTTCCCATTTTACTGCCTGTCTGGTAATTCTCTGCTCATCTCTTCTCAGGATATGTCCAATGTAGTGTCAACTTTTTTGTCTTATACGTGCTGTCACAGACAGTTGCCCCAGACATTTCTCTTATCTCTTCATCCCTTCCTCCTTAACATTTATTTTCAAGTGCACCTTCTAATAAGTAAACCATTCTATCCACTGTTTGTCTGAAATTTAGAATTAGTTCTGTGCCGACATGTTCTCTCATGACTTTATTCCTGGTTTTATCTCTTCTAATCACTCATGCAGTCTTTCTTAGACATAAATTTTTCATACTTAAGGGACCAAAACAGTATCAGATAAGTTTCTGCGAAGGAAAGCCGATGAAAAAAGAAAGAAAAAAAAACTGTATATTATTACTACAGATTTCAACAGCACTTAAACTTCACTGCCACCAAGTACTCACAAAATTCATTCATCTCACTGTAAAAGGTAATAAAAGTGGCTGTTCTTTTGAGGTAAGAGGTGTTTTTCTTAATCCTCTAGAAGGCAAGTTAGGCCAAGGTTGGTTTCAGAAGCTTTGTTCCACCTGGGGGCAGAAGGTGATAAAAGGTCTTTCCACAAGTCTCAAGAAACCAGTTATCAAATCAATTGTGTTGTTAAAAGCTTCAGTTAAATTATTAGGATGTGTTATAATAGGTACTCCTACAAGCCTCAAGAATACATGTTATGAGGCTGGTGGTGTTATAAGCTTTACTTCAATGACAAAGAAGTTTTACACTGGATAAAAACAGTCAGGCGTCCTTCATCAAACAGTAACATCTGACTTCAGCAATGCCGGGCCAAACATGTTACATGCTTCTTCTGCCATTTCTTCCCCATGGGACCAGAGCCCCTCAAACAAATCGTGATCTGTTTTCCTTCTCATAAAACTTAATCCATGTCCTTCTATTCATCTCTAATAATTTTTCAATCTTTTTTTCCCCCGTTTTCCTCCAATGAATTTGCCCTGGCAGTTCCAGTGAAATGCGAATGATGACTTTTAGTTTTACTATTTCTGTTTCATTTTTTAGATCCAAGCTCCCCGTCTGGGAAAAGGGGGGAGGGGGGGGGGGGGACAAGAAAACAGACCCACTGCACCTTACGGCAATTATCTGAGTTTGCTGCAATGAGTGCTTGTGCACAAAGCACAGATGTAGTATTACAGCCTAAGTGTAAGACAAAAAAAACACAATGAGCCAACAAACCTTCTATTGTCGGATGCAGAAGGCAACTCCAGTAATACACAGCCTGTTGCATACCAGTACACAGCCTGTTACATACTATAATAGTTGCTACTTTAACCCCTTCATCTGACTGTTACATACATTACTATTTACTCTGTATGTCACAACCACCTAAGACAGGAAGAGTTAACTCTTTCAGCCTCATTTTGTACAAAGTTTTGTACAAATATTTTGTTTTCATTGACTATTGACACGAAGAGACTAACCACCTGCTGTGTTGTAGGATTAACAGACACCCCTGCTGTTGCCAGATTTAGTTAGTATACTTTGGCCAAAACTTTGATATAACAAGACACTTTATGAGATGTTTGCAACACATGAGGAATAGACAGTAACTCATTATGTGTTGTTTGTGGCTGAAAGAGGTAACATAACCATACATAAAACAAACAAAAAATAATGATAATCCATCACAAGCCACATTCAGAAAGGCCATCTTTACTCAAGCAATGCCTTCATCAGACCAAATGACACAAATATATATATATCATATAACAAAATTACACAATTTTTACCAGATATTGGTAGGTCAGAACAAGTATCAACACCCTCATCACTCACAACATACTCATCAAACAGTTAACTCTAGTGCACCTAGTGCCTTAGGACCCAAAAGTGACATAAAAACTAAGATGTCAATGAAGAATGAAGAAAATCCAGTAACGACAACAGAAACAACAAGTTTTATTGGATAGAAAGAACGTATACCCAAACAAAACAAAAACTGTCAGTATTTTCATTAAACAAAAGTTACCCCGCCTCCTCCCCCAGGATGTGCTGTCATATGGCAATCACACTAGAAAAAAAACTGTTTTTTTTTTTCCAGGAAAATTGAGGTAGCAAAACATGATTTGTTCAGACTCAAATTAATAATAATCATCATCAGCACAGTAAAATTTCCTTTAAACAAACTAGCAACTTCCTTGAAATAGTCTGCACAAGAAAGACAGACCAAATGGTTCATATCACCGACAATAAAGATAATTAAATGGTTCATTTACAGATATACAATATTTTTGACAGACACAAGAATGTGCTACAATTACTGCATATTACAGGTAATATTTATGAGTCCAACATTTTGTCGTGTCAATCTGTATTACTTATACATTTCACCATCCTTCTCACCTGTATTACTTATACATTTCACCATCCTTCTCACCTGTATTACTTATACATTTCACCATCCTTCTCACCTGTATTACTTATACATTTCACCATCCTTCTCACCTGTATTACTTATACATTTCACCATCCTTCTCACCTGTATTACTTATACATTTCACCATCCTTCTCACCTGTATTACTTATACATTTCACCATCCTTCTCAACTGTATTACTTATACATTTCACCATCCTTCTCACCTGTATTACTTATATATTTCACCATCCTTCTCACCTGTATTACTTACGATAATCAAAATATTTCACCATCCCTTCCCTTGTCAGCCTGTAATACTTATTTCAGCGTGAGTCTTGGGGTCAAATTTTGTGGGGTTTGTTTAAAAAAAAGTGGGGGGGGGGGGGGGGGGGGGGGGGGACAAAATAGATCTGCTGGAACTGTGTCAGAAAAGGGACTTAATTCAAGGTTTCATGAAATCGGATGCGGTGTGCCAAAAGGCAAAGATATCAAAGCCTAGCTGTAAACTCCAACCCAGCATGCCAACTGTCTGTGTCAGTGCAGAAGCAGCAGTTCTTCTCATAATGAAAGAATTTACCTGTCTGCCATTTTACATGCTGATGTTAATATTTCAAACAACCCAAATATTTCAGCAAGTATTTATATGTTTCTATGTTTTCTACCTTTCTGAGTACACGGGCACACTGACCTTCTGCACACTGTCCAAAGTTCTCTGTGGAATCACTTTGGAGATACCAGAAAAGTTTAAACAGTCAGTAATATAATAATAACGGATTCAGTGTCATGTCTGATTACTTGTATGGTAGATTATATTTGACATGCTGACAGATGTAAAAGTGTTGACAGGTATGCTAGACTCAGAGCGGTTTCAGAGGCCAAAGGTGTTTAAAACCCTTTTGATTTTTTCCCCAGGGTGTGCAGGTGGGTAGGGAAATAAACAGGCAGACAGTCTAATTGGTTCTGTACCACTTGGTTGTAAACCGATGCATGGCATGCTATATACTGTCAAAGCCATATAAGAACGAGTGAACAGTGTGGAGGTACAAATAGATCATGAGAAGTTCTGACAGACGATTTTAGTGGAAAAAAAAACATTTTAGTGAAAAACGTCCGGTATAAGCTTTTTTTAAAACCAGTAATTTCTAATGGATCGATCTTTACATAAAAACTGTATTAGGACTATGGGTGGAAAAAAATAAATTATGCAAGCAAAATGTACCAACATTCTTTTTAGATCCCACAAAGAAATATTACACAGCAAAAATAGAATTAAATATTTGTTTACCAAACCTGACCACACTGCCTCTTACTGAAAGTTATGGCTCCTCAGAACGCAGAATCACACAGGTTGCACACATATGTTGTAGGGGTGGGTATATGTATGGACCTAGTATTTGAGCCTTCATGTTATTTCAACTGTCTTTACATAAATATATTTTTGTGTGGTTTACATGTAAATAAAACTAATAAACCAAATCACAAACCAGCGCACACTGCCTCTGACTGCAAGTGTTGTACGGGTGTGCATATTAAGAACCTAGTATTTCAGCATGTGATATTTCAACTACCATTACAGACTATATTTACCACTTGTCAGGGGGGGAAATCATAAGGATTTTAGGCCGTACGGACAGTGCAGTCGCCTTAAACGTGCAGACTAGAATTTTTATTTTGCCCTGACTGAAAAATCTTGATCCTTTATCTTGGATCGAACCAAAGATTCCCGCTTGTTTGTGTTTTCAACATACATATAAAATGTATGATAAGGTATTTCTGATAAAAACATATAATTTTTATGACAATGAAAATATTTCAGCCTTCTTGCTATTATATCAACATATATTTATGACAATGAAAATTTTCAGCTTTCCTGCTATTATATCAACAAATATTTATGACAATGAAAATATTTCAGCCTTCTTGCTATTATATCAACAAATATTTATGACAATGAAAATATTTCAGCCTCCCAGCCTTTTCTACAGATACAGTATCACTGTCACGATAAACAACTACAATAAGGAACGTTAATGTTGAGTACGGAGGGGCATTTCAAAAAAAAAAAAAAGAAAAGTGCTGACATTGTTCTGACCTTCACGTTCATGCAATGACCTTAGCTTTGGTGTGATCACGTGGCATATCTTCTGGTCCACTGTCGGGCAATGCGGTCGTGCTCCTCCCTGTTTGTGAGGTACTGCTGAGCAATACTGCCTACCAGAGGGTCATTGGGGTTGCAGTCAGTGAGCAGCGAGCAGATAGAGAGCAGGACCTGGTCATATGAGCAATGTCATAACAATCAGATAAATCAGGTGAGCCAGGTAAAGTGATGAGTCTAACAAAGACAGGAAAGACATGAAGTACATCTCAGCTGTCCTTGTTTATTGTAGATGATTTATTTAAAGCAGTCTAACACTTTGTGTGTGTGTATGTGTGTGTGTGTGTATGCACGCGTGCGCATATTTTGAAAGTAATATCAAGAAAAAATTTAAAATATCACTAATCAAAGAGGTACTGAGAAAAGCAGCCAACCAAACCATCCGAGATCGAGTGAATAATGAAACTATCAGGCAAATTGTGGGAACAACACCTTGTTCTAGATTCATCGAGAAACAGCAAATCAAGTGTTTTGGCCATCTCGTTAGAATGCAAAAAGATTAACCCTAGCAGACCTGAGGCCCTGAACCTAACTGCCCCCTATACCTGAACTCCTGGGCATTGACGCGAAAAAACCAACATGATACACACAAATATTCGTTACATGCAAACAAGTGGCTAGAATAAGAAGAAACTTGGAGACATTGTAGAAAATAGGCTTATCTTTTATCTAGCGCCAATATTCCACCTTTGTGTGCCAATCTACACAGGGGGTTCAAGATTGTTTCACAAAGTGAGCACCGGCTGTTGCTGTTTAAGGGACTCTTACTACTGATGTATTTCTAGATTTTTAATTTTCAAGATTCTCCTCATTATTCGAGCTGAATGTGTCACTTCAACTGTGAATGTATACTTCATGAAATTATGACTCCGCAGAGTCTAAAAAAAAGCAAAGTATCGATCACCTGTTGGACTGTGAAAAGCCTAGATTACTTTCCTTTCCTGTCGAAGTGCTTGGTTCATCAGCCGTTTGTTTTATAGTAAATTTTCATTATTTTCTCACGTAAAACAACAAACTTTATCCAAACACACAGGGGCGGACATCTAGGAAGACTATCCACGAGGTCTGATTAAGATTGGCTAGTTATTTTTAGTCACTGATGCATCTTTTTCACGCAAACTGCCGAAAATAAGGAACAGTGGTATAGCATCCAGTTAAGAAATTCCCCCCAAAATGGGGCCAGCGGTCTGGTAGGGTTAAATACCATCACATCTCAAAAGATCATTAACAACAGCAAGAGGAAAAATATGGATCGACAACATTAAAGACACTACACCTTCACGGCATGACAATAGCCAGTGGCAGCCAACGTGCACTGGATTGCAAATTATTCCTCCCCGCGGCGCTTAACGGTAGAAGTGGTTATGATGATGATGATGAAAGGGGTACTGAAGAGACCAGAAGTGAAAAAAAAAAAAGAATTGCAGTAAAAAAAATTATCTTTACAAAAAAGGTGCCAGCAAGCGGCAGAAAGAGGTATACAAGAGAATAAAATAAAGGGATAGACAAACAGGAGTTGCAGAGTTTGCAACTAGGACAACATGGGATGAAGATCCATTGTAGAACACCTTCCCAGTAAAAACAGCACCTGACTGATTGATCAATTCTTCATCATGGGAGAACAAAATAAAGGGAAAGACAAACAGGAGTCGCAGAGTTTGCAGCCAGGACAACAGCCAGCAAGTATTAAGGATCCACTGCAGACGACATTCACTGTAAAAACAGCACCTGACTGACTGGTCAATTCTTCTTCTACTGTTCGCTTTCAATAAATTATCTTTATCTACAATGTTGTCTCTAGTATGAACTTCACTGTCTTTGTAATTCACTTAGCCGCCCGTAAAGTCTGGCTCAAACCTATGTTTCTTTCAGCCCGAAGTTTTTTTCTGGAAATGTTGTACTTTGGACAGTCTTGGAGGATGTAATCTGTTGTCTCAGGTGCCAATCCAAGTGTACACATGGTTGATTCACCAATCTTAAATTGTTTGTACATGAGGCTGTTAAGTCGACCGTGTCCTGTTCTAAGGCACAGAATAATGCTTTGGTCTGTCCATTATATGGTAATCACCTTGTGGCACTGACTGACTGATCAATGACACTGCTTCCATTGTTGTCATCACCAGTGTGAAATCTGTCAGTATGTTAAAAACATTCTACCAAGGGAAGAATAAAATATGACACTGAATCTATTATTATGATTATCAGTTTGAATTCTGAAGGATTTTCACTGACTGACTGAATAACAAGGACCGATGATCATAACATTCTGTGTAAACAATGACTCATGCATATGCAACAGAAAATATCATTATGACTTCATTATGAAGCGTGTTATGGTGAGGTTTTATCAAACCTTTTTTTTCTGGTATCATCATACTTGGTCAACTTGTTCGCGCCATGAGAGATGGCTAAATAGTTTTTACATGTGATGCCTAAAAAGAATACTTGGCATTAAGTGGCAGGAACAAATCACCAACACTGGGGTACTGGAAAGAGCTGGTACTACAACAGTCTTCTCAATGCTCAGTCCACGAAGGCTCAGGTGGGTGGGTCACACCTGGAGAATGGAGGATGGCAGAGTCCCTAAGGACATCCTTTATGGTGAATTAAAGATGGACAGAAGACGGCGAGCCCGATCTCTACTATGGTATAAAGATGTATGCAAGCGGGACATGAATGATACATATATTGAGGTGGATTCATGAGAACAAAATGCTTTGTGAAGTGTTGTGTGGAGAAGGCATATCAGGAAGGAAATGAGAGTGAAGGAAGAAATTATTGCAGAAAGGATGAGAGCTGGGCGTCTGAGAAGAAACAGATTTATCACAAATGTTGACAACAATGATCCTGAAATCCTATGCTATCATTGTGAAAGAGTTTTCTTGACACAGGCGGGTCTTGCTAGTCGCACTCGCCATGCGCTGCGAGTCCCATGTCTCCTCATAGCGCAATATAACACTATCGCCTGGAAAGACGGAAACATACCAATCATTGTGCTGTGTGATGATCCATTTTCCCATCAGAATGAGAAAATTGACATGCACACTACTGATCATAAATTATGTGCAAAAGGTGGAGCATACGAAGATCATAGTGAGGCTGACTGAATTATACCTGAAAAATGCAAGAGTTTGGCAGGAATATGTTAGAGAGTGTGGACTCAATGAAAAAGGTGATGTGTGAGCTGTATCTCAGAGTTCATGTGAGTTAAGAGATGAGGAGAAACCCAGAAAGCAAGAGGTTTAATTGATCTGTGACAGCTAAGTGCTAGTAACATAGCTAAGAACTAGTTCTTCACCTTCTTCTCGTGACTGCTTTCTGATCTACACCGACAAACAATTTCTTGTGAAAAAGAAACTGACTGTCTTTAGGAGTACCTTTTAGTTCCATACAACTGTGAGTACAGTGTTGACTCAGCTGCCTGATATTCCCTTCTGAAAGGGCTTTACAAGGGACATTAATGCAGGAGGTGTTCTGCATTTAGCGCACACAGCCTATTATAGCCAGTAACTAGCAGGTTACCATTGATCTAAGGCAAGTAACTGCTAGTCGGTGATTTAACACATTACCACTGGTCATTAACAATTTACCACTAGCATGTTATCAATGACAGGCAAACCTTTGGTAATTCATGTTATTATTAATGACCGGCAAACCTCTGGTAATTCATGTTATCAATGACCGGCAAACCTCTGGTAATTCAGGTTATCAATGGCCTGCAAACCTCTGGTAATTCATGTTATCAATGACCGGCAAACCTCTGGTAATTAAGAAGTTATCACTAACTAGAACTCTTACCTTTGATATAGTGAGTGCTGGACTCCAGTTGTCCTTGAGAATATCGAGACATATCGCTCCCTGACTGTTTATATTACAATGATATATCCTCGTACGGAATACAACCTGATAATAAAATTCACATTATAAGACAAGTCAGCATATAAGGGAAACAACAATTTACAACAATGCTCCTGTAGTGTAAAGTGTGTGAAGTGAAAGAGATTTTACAACTGTGGCACACCGGATATATGATGCTACTCATTTTTATAGATCAATGTGCCCCTGGTGGGTGATGTGGTCAACATCCCAAAGGCTGCCTGAACTCCCCAGGGCAATGTCTGGTACCCATTGTAGCTGAGCAGACACGGGAATCAGGTGCAGTTTTAAAGACAACTCTCACCTGCATCCAGATCCAGAGCCTTCCAACAGGAGTCAAGTATCTAGCCACAAGCTAACGTGGTTTTTACAGAAATGTTAGTATCAAGGATTTTTTTTTTAAATTGTCTCATTCCCTGGCACCTTTCCGTCTTTTCAGACGACTGTGTCATACTGCACTATAAGGAGGCATGGACTCACAGCCTATAGAGATGGTGAGTGTGACTAGCAGAAACCGCCCACCTTAAGAAAAGTCTTCTAACACACAGCCTGCTTTACTGCATCAGATATATCACATGTGATTTATACTATGCTATGTTATCACAACTGATGTCACTGCACATTAGGCATTTCTACATATTTTTAGTCCTCGGGTGCAGCAGCCACCCCAGAGTACCCTCAAGTAAATGCTTCCACGAGAAGTCAGTTACAAGGTCTCCGAGAAGTCAGTTACAAGGTCTCCTTTTCTGACCCTGAGACCCCTCAAAATTCTTCACTCCGGGGTCATTTAATTGTGTCAGCATCAGAGATTGTCATTATGCGCCAGCCTAGTTTGTAGGGTGTCGGTGATAGCTCTGTCTAGACATCTTCCCGCATGCAGTGGTGCAAAACTGGCCAGCTACTTTTTACTTCAACATGCTTAAGTTCTTGCTGCACAAACAAAGCAATATATTTTTAGTTATTTGAAGGGGGAAAAAAATGTATTCTGCCTTATCATTATTGTTCATCAGAGAAATGCAGCCTAAGAAATTGTATCCCATGTAAATAACATAGCTCCAACAACACCCTCTAACTCCTTCCCCCAAAATGTTTCAGGCAACTGTAGTCATAACCAAAGGATGGATCATGAAATAATGCTCAGTTTTAAAAGTGAGAGGTTGAATGGCTTTACCATGAAAACCCTGTTTTCATTCAAAGGTGAAGGATGGGGGGGGGGGAGAGATGGATGAAAAAATAGATGGAGGTAGAGGAGAAAAAAAAAATGGAAGCAAATTAGTAATTGTAGTTATTGGCACCATACACTCACCTCAGTCACTGTGTGATGGAACTATATACTTTCAGTCTACACATGGAGAAAGGTACTTTCTTATTAGCCAACCACAAACAGGGGACATCTGCAGGTCACGGGACAGTAAAATATTTCAGGTGTCATAGATAGAGCGTAAATTTTGGTTAGGTTCGAGTTAGGGTAAGGTTAACATGCGAAAACCTTGGCCTTGGAAGAAAACCCGCTCTTACCCCCCTCTAAAATACTGGGAGGGTGCCATCTTCATAATCAAGACAAGAGACGTTGCAAGACATATCAACATTCAGTAGAGGTACCTTGGGGTGGCTGCTTCATCTGAGGACTGAGCATACATGGGAATACCCAACGTGCAATGATGAATGTTTGACAGCAACAATTATATGACCTTGGAGTGAATCACAGAAGAAAATAAAGAAGAAGAAGAAGAAGAAGAAGCAAAAAACATGGTGAACAAATATAAAAGGTAGAACATGTAATATCAGATAATCTATACTTTAGAAATGATATCACATAAGGCATCACCATGTAATTGGTACATTATGCTAAAAACATCCTTCATACAGGATGGAAAGCACCAGCTACATACCCTTGGTGGTTTGAAAGGATAATCAGTGGTGAACTGAATATCCAAAAAGAAAACTCCCCCTTCGTACACAGATGCCTTTGGTCCTAGAATTGTTGAGCTCCATTCATACAGATTATCTCCTTTTGGGCCAGCACTGCAAATGATGGAAACATAGTTATCTTTAGCATTATTTACTGGCTCATTTGTTCTCTCTTCTTCTTCTTCCTGTTCACCAGCTGTAAACTCTGGCAGAAAGTTATGATTGTTCATCCACTTTGAATTGCCGTCCTGTTCCAGAACCTGAGTGTTGCGTGTGCATCAATTTTACAGATCCGACTCATCTGTATGCAGACTGCTGGTTCCTTGCCTCTCAAGCAGATGCAATCCAACTTTTATGGAAGCTCCCAATTAGTTGACTCTTACGGCATGCTTTTAGTTAGGCAGTGGGTCTATTCCTGTTTTTCCCACAATAGAGTTTCGAAACCCACACAGTGAGTCCTCTCTTTAAAACTGCTTGTCTATGTCTCAGCCTAATATAATGTTGGCCTTTCCGGGCGACAGTTATATTGTGATATGAGGAGACATGGGACTCAAAGATCATGGTTCTCCGTGTGGGTTCTGGGGCCCTATTATAGGGAAAACAAGAATAGACTCACTGCCTACCCAAAGGCATGTCGTAAGTAAGAGTTGACCAATTGGCAGCTTCTTTTGAAGTCATGAGTGCATATGCCTGAGAGGCAAGGAATCAGCAGTCTGCATACAAATCAGATCTGTAAAACAGATGCACAAGCAACACTCAGGTTCTAGAACAGAACTGCAGTCCAGAAGTGGATGAACAACCAGAACTTTCTGCCACAGTTTACAGCTGGTGAACGCGAACAAGAAGAAGAATAAAAGACCATGGTCATGGCATGTGATTCCGAAACCAAAAAGGCCAGGGATGAAGTTTCTCTGCTCCGCAGCACAAAGCCTGGTCAGTATTGGTCAGACAGACAGAGAGAGAGAGAGAGAGAGAGAGAGAGAGAGAGAGAGATAGAGAGAGATCCTGCTGCATGGGAAACCCACCTAATGGTCTGATCTGAGCATACGAAACTGAACGCAAAGAAGAAGATCTGCAAAGATGGAAAGGTGCCAACAAACATTCAGGAGACCCAAGTTTTAATCCTTTGTTGAGTGACGAACTGTTTTACGTCAGAGCCAAAATAAAGATTCTAGACTGCATAGTTCACGGAGACCACATAAAACAAGCAGTCCCTAAATTCTCAGGATCAAGAACTGGTAAAAATATGAGTCAAAAGAGACAGTCAAACACCTACCTGCAGTTAGGAGGTGGATCAAGTGTAATTTCTGCCAGCTCTCTCTGTAATCTGAAGGAGAGGAAGTATTTATAAACACAATTTCTAAAAAAAAAACTAAGAGGCAATGGTCAAAATAGTCCAGTACAATAATGTCAATGTTCCTCTGATAAAGTTTGTCCATGCCCTGATGCCAAACATCCTCCCTTTTGGTTTCCATAATTTTTCTTCTCCTTCCCATTTAACTATTGTCATGATGTACTCAAGTGTTCCTCTTCTCATGACATGCCCAAAGTTTACATTCATAAGATGTGGGGAATAGGTGATCTTTGTGAGTGAATATATTTTAACACTTCAATAGTTTTATTTTATCTATCCATTGCATTCTCATCATTCTGCTACAAAACTGCATCTCTGCAGTTTCCCCATACTCGAATAACATTAGGACATTATGTTTATATATCTTACTACAGCACACATTGATTCTGATATTCCAAAGATTCTCAGAAAACTGGACTCTGCCCAGTAATCATCTCTGGCCATGGGCACTGAGTTATCCATGTGTTTTGACCCCCCCCCCCCTCCCAATGGCAGACACATTCCATTTCTGAGAACAGCATTTTGCACATCTACTCTCCAGACAGCTGCAATATGCTGCTGACAAGGCGTGGCAGCTGGGGCTGCGATCTCTACTGGTCGTGATTCCACTTCCACATAGCACCACTAAAACATAGGCTACTCCCATGAAAAAACAACATAACTTGTATCCTGCGTTTGAAACACACAAAAATAGCTGTTCAAGTGAAAGCAACAGAATTGAAGGTAGAATCTCAAAGTGGTGGAAAACTGAGCTGATCTGAAACCAAAGTGAATTTTAAATAATTTAGCCCCTTAGTGGATTTCAGCCATAGGCAGACTGGTGAGAGTCTAGTCACTGCAGCTCCCTATAATAATGCCGACTGTTAAAAATCATATAACACTAACAAATGTCCAGACGTGCTGATATTTTTGGCATCAATTTCTTATTAGCTTTACTTCTCTAGCACTTCATGTATGGGAGACAGAGCCTTTATAAGAATGGCCAGCACGTTATAATGTCGAATATTAAAAAATCAAATGACACTAACCTGCAACAACTTGTGCTGACATTTTCGGCAAAAATTTTTCTATCAGCTGTAAATGCTAACACACTCAAATGTGTGGGTAGACTAACCGGCTGTAAATGCTAACACACTCAAATGTGTGGGTAGACTAACCGGCTATCAGCTGTAAATGCGAACACACTCAAATGTGTGGGTAGACTAACCGGCTATCAGCTGTAAATGCTAACACACTCAAATGTGTGGGTAGACTAACCGGCTATCAGCTGTAAATGCGAACACACTCAAATGTGTGGGTAGACTAACCGGCTATCAGCTGTAAATGCTAACACACTCAAATGTGTGGGTAGACTAACCGGCGTCCAGCTGTAAATGCTAACACACTCAAATGTGTGGGTAGACTAACCGGCTATCAGCTGTAAATGCTAACACACTCAAATGTGTGGGTAGACTAACCGGCTATCAGCTGTAAATGCTAACACACTCAAATGTGTGGGTAGACTAACCGGCGTCCAGCTGTAAATGCTAACACACTCAAATGTGTGGGTAGACTAACCTGCTATCAGCTGTAAATGCTAACACACTCAAATGTGTGGGTAGACTAACCGGCTATCAGCTGTAAATGCTAACACACTCAAATGTGTGGGTAGACTAACCGGCTATCAGCTGTAAATGCTAACACACCCAAATGTGTGGGTAGACTAACCGGCTATCAGCTGTAAATGCTAACACACTCAAATGTGTGGGTAGACTAACCGGCTGTAAATGCTAACACACTCAAATATGTGAGTAGACTAACCGGCTGTAAATGCTAACACACTCAAATGTGTGGGTAGACTAACCGGCGTCCAGCTGTAAATGCTAACACACTCAAATGTGTGGGTAGACTAACCGGCTATCAGCTGTAAATGCTAACACACCCAAATGTGTGGGTAGACTAACCGGCTATCAGCTGTAAATGCTAACACACTCAAATGTGTGGGTAGACTAACCGGCTATCAGCTGTAAATGCTAACACACCCAAATGTGTGGGTAGACTAACCTGCGCCCAGCTGTAAATGCTAACACACCCAAATGTGTGGGTAGACTAACCTGCGCCCAGCTGTAAATGCTAACACACTCAAATGTGTGGGTAGACTAACCGGCTATCAGCTGTAAATGCTAACACACTCAAATGTGTGGGTAGACTAACCGGCTATCAGCTGTAAATGCTAACACACTTAAATGTGTGTGTAGACTAACCGGCTATCAGCTGTAAATGCTAACACACTCAAATGTGTGGGTAGACTAACCGGCTATCAGCTGTAAATGCTAACACACTCAAATGTGTGGGTAGACTAACCGGCTATCAGCTGTAAATGCTAACACACTCAAATGTGTGGGTAGACTAACCGGCTATCAGCTGTAAATGCTAACACACTCAAATGTGTGGGTAGACTAACCGGCTATCAGCTGTAAATGCTAACACACTCAAATGTGTGGGTAGACTAACCGGCTATCAGCTGTAAATGCTAACACACTCAAATGTGTGGGTAGACTAACCGGCTATCAGCTGTAAATGCTAACACACTCAAATGTGTGGGTAGACTAACCTGCTATCAGCTGTAAATGCTAACACACTCAAATGTGTGGGTAGACTAACCGGCTGTAAATGCTAACACACTCAAATATGTGAGTAGACTAACCGGCTGTAAATGCTAACACACTCAAATGTGTGGGTAGACTAACCGGCGTCCAGCTGTAAATGCTAACACACTCAAATGTGTGGGTAGACTAACCGGCTATCAGCTGTAAATGCTAACACACCCAAATGTGTGGGTAGACTAACCTGCGCCCAGCTGTAAATGCTAACACACCCAAATGTGTGGGTAGACTAACCTGCGCCCAGCTGTAAATGCTAACACACTCAAATGTGTGGGTAGACTAACCGGCTATCAGCTGTAAATGCTAACACACTCAAATGTGTGGGTAGACTAACCGGCTATCAGCTGTAAATGCTAACACACTTAAATGTGTGTGTAGACTAACCGGCTATCAGCTGTAAATGCTAACACACTCAAATGTGTGGGTAGACTAACCGGCTATCAGCTGTAAATGCTAACACACTCAAATGTGTGGGTAGACTAACCGGCTATCAGCTGTAAATGCTAACACACTCAAATGTGTGGGTAGACTAACCGGCTATCAGCTGTAAATGCTAACACACTCAAATGTGTGTGTAGACTAACCGGCTATCAGCTGTAAATGCTAACACACTCAAATGTGTGGGTAGACTAACCGGCTATCAGCTGTAAATGCTAACACACTCAAATGTGTGGGTAGACTAACCGGCTATCAGCTGTAAATGCTAACACACTCAAATGTGTGGGTAGACTAACCGGCTATCAGCTGTAAATGCTAACACACTCAAATATGTGGGTAGACTAACCTGCGCCCAGCTGTAAATGCTAACACACTCAAATATGTGGGTAGACTAACCTGCGTCCAGCTGTAAATGCTAACACACTCAAATATGTGGGTAGACTAACCTGCGTCCAGAGGTGCTGAGATTTTTTGCAAACTTTGCGTTGGCTTTACTTGCTGTGGCAGGAGAACCTCCAGGTCCCTCTGCTGGGCCAGAGCGAGCCTTGGTTGGTTCAGCCATTCTCACAAACTGGTGGCTGCCCTGACTGTCTCCAGTGATGCTTCTACTGTCCGCTGACCTGCTCTGTGATGTAGAGGCTGTGGTTTGACTGGTCATCAGATGCACTCTTCAGGTGTGAAAAGCCTGATAGTAAAGTCCAGAAGTAAGTTTGTGAATCTAAGAAGCAATATACAATGAATGAGTGAATGAAGGAATGAATGAGTGAATGTGTAAAGGAATGAATGAGAGAATGAAGAACCGGCATCACTCAGGACATTTACATAATCCCACACGTCCCCCCATCTTCCTTCTCAGTAACTACAACCTTGACTGTTGATAGTATTTGTTGCAACCTAATTTAAACAAACCCGCCCATGGTTCCATAACTGCTGAATAACTTCCAGACCGTCTACCAGCATATATACTGGTGAAATGTTCATTACTTAAGGTGAAACAACAGTGTCTATCCATGCACAATGTGAAGCACAAGAGATAAGAAGAGGCTGCTGGAGTCAAAAGTAGAATGCTCTTTAGAGTAACTAATGAATGAGACAACAAAATGTCTCACTCACAGCAAAACAACAAATGATTAACAACATCTTCACCTCCACTTTATACCATCAGTGCCCATCATGGACAATGGATGTGGCAGAGGAACAGAAAATAACTGCATGTGAAAAGTGCTGTATCTGAAAAGATCAGCAACAACACAAGGCTGGACATGGTCATGAATACTGGCATTAGAGAGAAGGCTGGAACAAGACCTAAATAACGCTGGAAGACAAAGAATGAAGTGATTTCCAACCCTAGTAAGAATGCAGCCAAGCCAAGCTGACTGAGACCTTTTACAGCGGAACATCTGGGCTGAAGTTTGTTGTCACTTGCATTCACCAGCTGTGCACCCCAGCAGAAAGCTCTAGTTGTTTGCTCATATTTAGACCCTAGGCTTTGTTCCAGGAACTGAGTCGTGTGTGTGTGCATGTTTTACAGATATGGCTTAACTGTATGCAGATTACTGGTTCCTTGCTCTCATGCAGATGCACGCTGACTTCGAAAGAAACACCCATAATTAGTCACCTCCTATGACAGGCTTGTCAGGGGGCAGCGGGTCTATTCTTTTTTTTCCCTCCCACAATGGGGTGCTGGAATCCACAGGAGATGCGCAAAAGGTGAAAGGAAGACCAAGGAAGAGATGGAATCCTACAAACAAATGAACAAATCTATCACTCAAGCCACCCGGAAAGCAGAAGACAAATACAGAAAACCTTCCCTGCGTGGCTTGCAGGGCCTCAGTGTGGGGGGAAAAACAAAATAGATTCACTGCCTCTCCCCAACAAGCACCTCCTTAGAGTCGACTAACTGGGGGCTTTATTCAAAGTCAGAGTGCATATGCCTGGCAAGGAACCAACAATCTGCATATAGATAAGCAAAATGTGTAAAATGGATGTGCGCTCAGGTTCTGGAACAAGACTAAAGTCCAGAGGCGGATGAATACCGACTGAAAGTATACGAGATTGAAGGCAGTGGATAATATGATTACTAAAGCCACACAGCTTGGACTATAACACAAGAAGAAGCATCAATGGCTTTTACTTGTCATCCACATTTGCTTTAGGAAGAGAAGAAACTGAAGGTTCTGATCTTGAACTACTTGCATCATTTAGGCTGTGATGAGTTAGTGGTGTATTGATAGAGAAGGTCGTGGTTGCACAAATGCTAGCATTCAGAGGATTCTCCTTATAGATTCACTCTAAATTCTCTAGTTTATGTACTATTTCCACTGTTATTTACCAACACTCATTTAATCATCATGAAGCAATTCCTTTGCAGAATGCCGCTCTCCTCACAGTCTGCCTAAAAGAAACTTGGTCTCTCGTCAGCTCTCCCGCCTCATGCACTTTCATACTCAAGGAGTCACTTATATCCTGTGCCCATCTTCGTTTTGGTCAGCCCCTGCTTCCTGGTACCATGCCTTTTGCTATTATATGTGGTGCTTGACTTGACCAGAATATTTCAGCTTCCGAGACAGGTTGCTGTTTATTAGCCAATCTTTCTTGATGTTCAGATCTTTAAAGATGTCAGTATTTTTCCTCTTCTTTGTCCAAGATACTCTGAGAAGTTTTCTATAGCATTTCAGCTCAAATGCCCCTATTCTCTTTCTTAATGACTGGGAGATAGTCCACGACTCACATCCGTATGTTGCTACTGGGAAGATGCATGCTCTCAAAATTCTAATTTTGAGCTCCTTGCTGGTGCTTAACCAAAGACTTTTAATGCTGTTTAATCTTTGCATTGCTATGGCCATCCTCCTTTTAATTTCTGTCAAATAGTATTCCTTAAAAAAAATTTATATTTATTTATTTATTTTTGTATGTAAAGACGCTTTTACAATAATAAATTACTCAGATTATCTTTGAGCAACTCTTCCTATAACAGTACAACCAGTGATGGAAGTGATGGATTACCCATAAAAAACACTAAGCACTTGTTTAGGGCATCACAAAGGGATGGGGTACTACTTACATTTTGGAGCTAGGCATTTATTTTAGTGGCTGAAATATATATATTTTTTAAACCCACCAAAAAAACAATGCAGGCTGGATGCCCTATCTCTGTTACATATAGAAGAAGATGTGTTACATAAGCTTAGTCAAAGGATCTGATCAAAGACTTTGCAATTAAGAAATATAAGAGACAACTTTTCAAACATAAAGTTCAAGTATACACAAATATACACTAACTTCCACCGTAACATAATTTTTGCTTAATTTCAAAAAGAAATATTTTATTTTCTGGTTTATTATTTATATTTTGAGTTAAATATAAATATGGAGGCAACAGGGCCATCTTAACACAGGATCTTGATAGGTACTTGCCTGAAAGCCCCACAAGCATGGGTGCCCATGGTGATCTGTGTATGTCAAGTGACCATTTACATTTAATCCCTGTGGGTGGCTTTCGTAGATGGCCCAGTGCACTGGTTTACCCAGGGGCCCATAAATACTGTTTGTTATGTTCAGGAAGAGGGGGTGGGGGGGGGGGGGGGGAGAGAAGAGGGGTGTGAGAAACCAACTTCCTGTAAGTGCACATATGATTTATTTGTGGATATTTTGTTTTCCTCTGTTATCCACATAGTTTGTGTTAACACATATACATATATTTGGTTTCATTTTCCTAATCAGATGACTCACTGGCTGACACATTATAACTGTAGTCTCAATGTACAGCTAATAACGTATCAGTTATAACTAAAACGCTACTACAAACCACAATAATGTAAACTACAAAAAATGTAATTACCAGAGGTGCTGCCTCAAAAACATTACTCATTACTTTCATTCATTAATTATATATTACATTACAGAGTATCATATGGGCAGTGTAACAAACTCAAGTGTCACTATTTGTGATTAAATTAAAAATAAAATGAACTGTTTGTATACATCTTAAATCCCAATAAATTAGTCATTTCATTAATATCAGTTCAAAGAAACTAGTTAATTAAAAATTAAATTATTACAAGAAGAATGAACTCAGAACTGATACTATACTATACTGAAGGAAGAAATCCTTGGGGCCTTCAGCACAACAGATACAAATTACAATTACAAGAAAGCACTTATTAACATTTACAGAATAAGGACAAAAAGTTCAATGCCGTTCTTATTTGAGGTATACTCTAACGATATGGATCCTAAATGACGTTTTTGCAGCCCAATTTTTATTCCAAGACTCCGAGACCCATCCCCGAGCTTCTGCTCTTCACTGACCACTGCGTGACCGCACTTGTTTATAAATTACGCTGTTTTCTGCACTTTGTATTTCAAACACTGTCACGAAACACATGCTATAAACACCATCGAGAATCAAAGCATATTACAGATTAGATCTAGTGAAACATTAACAACAAGAGATGTATTTACTTGACGAACTAATGGCTTGGAGAAACGTCAAAAAATGAATGCGATTGAGAGGACATTCGACAGGAAGTTACTTGGCTGCTGAACTTTAGATCCGTACTTTTGCTTCTCTGGGTGCAACTTTTTAGTCGATCTCTGTCCAGACAAAGGTTTTTTCAAAGGTCCCTTCTTGTTGTAGCTTCCATTAAAAATGTAACATTATTCAGGCCGATCGATAAAATAATGTTAAGCACTGTACATAACACATTTAAAAAAGAATGATAATGAATCTACGTTTTTTTTTTTTCAAACTAACTAGTAACAAGCATTATTGAAAAAAATTATATCTACTGTTCTTCCTACTTTAAACTTAGTGAGCAGTATCATATTCAAATAATAAAAAATATAAAAACTGTTTAGATTGCTTAAAAAAATGTTCAGCATAGCCAATATATACAGTTAAAATACGGTGGACACTACCATAGGCGCCGTAAACATTGGGTGCTCAACCATAGCGCCCTGTCGCCCCCCCCCCCCCCCCCCCGAGTATAATGAATCTTCTAGTTACAAATGGAGAGGGGGAACGCAGCATCCACCCTTCCCCTAATTGTGAAAACACTAAAAAGGGGTGCTCCCATCCACCCGAACCACGCCATCGTCACCACCCAGGCTCAGACCCATTCTGTCCAAAACCTGTCGAATAAGAAAAGAGTGGGGAGAATCCCAAAACCATGTCCCATCGTACAGGTGGGTTTTTTTTTTTTTTTTGGGGGGGGGGGGGGGGCACGTTCTTTAGTGCCCTCTCCCTGAAAAGGAGTTAACGATGGGGACTGTGCCTTCTTTAACTATATACAGAAATAATTTTTTTAAAGCATTTGTTGATACATTTCGTATTTTTCAAGTATATTATAACATCTATTTGCCATTATTATATTACCATTTTTTTTACAATAGACTCTACAATATCCGGCCTAATGTGACTGAAGGGTAGGCCGGATAAAAAAAACACAGTTCCTTCTTCTTCTTCTTCTTCTTCTTCTTCTTCTTCTTCTTCTTCTTCTTCTTCTCTTCCACCGTGTACCTCATCGAAGTATCGGGGGAGGGGGGAGATGTAACATTCATTAATGAGCTCTGCCAAGAGCACTATTAAGACTGATGTTCATTTCTGTAAGGCTGTTCTTTATGCCATCACTCCATATTTTCCGAGGTCTTCCCCTC